AAAGACCGCCTATAACTAACCCATCTTTTTGCGAATATAAATTATTATTCACAAAAAAAAAATAAAAAAAATAAACATCTTTGTAAAACTATAAGCTTCTTTGTTCTATTCAGAATCTAAAATAAATAACCTGAGATATTAATTTAATATTTTTTTTAATGTTTCCCGAAGGACCTTTAAATAAAATATAAAGATAAATTATTTTTGGTTTGAAAATTCACGTATACAATAAAATTATCATTATACTGGAATACTGGATGTTCATGATAATGCAGTGCATATACTTTAAATAACCGATCGACACTGGTCGCTGCCAACTCGACGAGGTAGGTAATGTAAACGACGAATGTATTTGCCGTCGCTACTGACACGAACATTTCTCCCTAATTTTAAAAAATTCTTCATTTTTCTTGGTTTAATCGATGTTGTCCTGTTAAGATTAGGTAGTTAAACAAAAATAATCGTTTTTTTAAAAAAAATTGAAAAATTCTGTGGGGGGTGTAATTAATTATTAAAATCGCCAATTTTAACAATTTCTACATTTTTTTTTTACTCAATTATTAGTATTTTAATAGTATTGGTTAATAGAATACAATTTTTGCTATAACTATTAAGATGAATAACCACTGAAACAACCTAAAAATATTAATTACAAAATTCGTAATTTGTATTTAATTTTATTGCAATTTAAGAGGACGTCATACCAGCATATTATGCTGTCTCAGTTTAACTAACGGGCAATGTAGCAAAATCTTCATTACACAGACTGCGTAGCACTCGCTTAATATTGGTTTTAAACACCTATTAAAGTATTAAAAATTCAAAAAAATCCAGAGGACAAGAAAATGCATTTCTTTTTTTTTAAATTCATTTTTTAAAATGTTACAATAATTTAAAATCTATGACTTAGTGTCTATTTCTAAACAGTGTACATATATTTATATTTGAAATTATAACTAAAATAATAGGAAAAACTTGTCCTCTTGTTCCTCTTGTTCTTGGAATATTGTCCTCATTGAATTTTAGATTCTGAGTGGAGCAAAGAATCTTATGATTTTACAAAGATGGTTTGTTTTTTTTATCTGTTAACAGCTTTTCTATCAAAAGACTTGCTCGGATTTCTAAGTGTAGCACCCTTTTTTAATGGAAACCAGCGTGGGGAGATTTTTTAAGGATGTCATTTTTCGATTTTCTCAAGAATTTTCTCATTAAGTTTAAAAGTCCGAAAAAAACGGTAAAATATAAGAAATATAGGTATTAGTTAAAATATATTACGATTTTATTATAAAACCAAAATTAAACGAGTTTTACATAGTCTGCATAAGATAGATTTTGCTATATTTCTCGTTAGTTGGACTGAGACAGCACATGCAATTATGATATCATTTTAATAAGAATTATTTATCGTGTCAATCATAATCATTAGATTATAATTAATGTTGATAAAAAGCTTAGACTTGGGTTTGGTATTTAGTCAAATAAAAATCCTATGGTTCCCACACAAAACAGTACTATTCAATACCCTGCTAAAATTGAGTTACTTTCTTATGGATTGGAAAAAAAGCCACAATAATAATGATTAGGAAACCTGGCAAAAATAATACTTACCCAAAAAATCACCGTCCCATCAGCTTATTATCGTCTGTTTCAAAAATTTTCGAAAAATGATTCACCCCAGACTAATTAGTCATTTAAATGCAAAAGACGCAATTCCTTACTGTCAATATGGTTTTAAACCAAACCACTCGAAAAATTAACAACTTCTTTAAATAACAGAGCACATTAGTAACGGTATCAAAAAAAAAAAGAACATACCACTACGGCCTTTCTAGACATTGCTAAAGCGATCGGTAAAAGTTTTGATTTTGAGTGGAGTTCAGTTGATAGTGATGCTTTGTCAACAATTTTTATGCTATTCTGTAGTAAAATAGTTAAATAGGCTTTATATATTTTCTTTAATAACCTTTGTTTAATGTTCTACCAATTTTCACAGTTTTCTTACGATTTTCCGGGTTTTCCCATGTTTTATCCCGGTTTTTTCATTTTCTGGAAAAACTCTCAGGAAAAAATGATTTCTCTATAGTACCTCGCTAGTGAATTTCCTTTTAGAAACATAGCTATCATTAAAAGTTTGAGAAAAATTGCTGGAAGAAAAGTTGTTCACAGAAAAAATATATATATATATTTGTAACACCATAAGCTTCTTAGCTCCACTCAGAATCTAAAATTTGTATTATATATTATTATGAACCTAAGTTTAGATGACAAACGTCAGGAAAACTTTATGATTAATAGTAAAAAAAAAATACATAAGATTACTTATATTTTTAGATTCTGAGTGGAGCAAAGAAGCTTACGGTTTTACAAAGATGTTTCAAGAGTTTTCTCATCAAATGTGAAAAACCGAAAAAATGGGATAAAAAAAAAAGAAATGTGGGTATTAGTTAAAATATATTAAGGCCTTCTATTTTTCTGTGATCAACTTTTTTACCGGCCATTTTCCTACTTTTAATGATAGTAATTTTCTAAAAGGAAATTTCACCAGGGAGGTTTTCCTGGGAGGTTATTTTTCGAATTTGTCAGGAATTTTCCCAGCAATTGTGAAAACCCGGAAAACTTAGGAAAATTGGGAAAATCGGTACAACATTAAAAAAATATTATTAATGAAAATATATAAAGCCTATTTAACTATTTTACTTAATTTAACTTAATCATTATAAAATAACATATACAATATTGACGAAACATCACCATAAATTGAACTCCGCTCAGAATCGTTTTTTCATTAGCAATTGTTTATCTTTGGTAACTTTTTTTTATCGGCTTTTCTAATTTGATGATAAAATCGAAAAATGACCTCTCTAAAGTACTTTCCTAATGAAATTTTCTTTTAGAAACATTTCTCTTATTAAAAGTTGGAGCATAGTAGCTGGTAAAAAATGTGTGCACAGAAAAAAGACCGTAACATATTTTCACTAATACTTACATTTCTTATATACTTCCTCTCTAAAGTTCTCCCCCAGGCCGATTTCCTTTCAGAAAAGGTGCTACATGTAGAAATTCGAGGAAGTCTTCTGGTAGAAAAATTGCTTTTGTAAAAAAAAAAAAAAAAAATAAACATCTTTGTAAAACCATAAGCTTCTTCGCTCCACTCAAAATTTAAAAGAAAAATAGATACGAGGTTGACACTAAATTAGGATACAAGAAACAAGTCACAAGTGCGGTAGATCACAATAATATATGTACAAATATATATAATATTGTTTATATGTTATTATTATATGTTTATAATATATCTGTGTTTATAATCACGAATTAAGATAAGTATATATTAATTCGTGGTCATAATACAAATCAACAGTTTACAACGCCATCTGTTGACTAGATTTTTCAACTTTTAAATAATAGGTAGCAACACAGGTATATCTGTAGGTAGCAAGTACCAACCATGACGAACCTGATGAAGATCTAATTCGTCATGGTACCAATTACCAACATAATAATGAGATTTAAATTAATACTTAATAATATTATTAAATAAAATATTATCATGGTTTAAATTTTAATATCAAATATAATCACCGGTAGAGCTAAAACTAGATGGGCAGTGTTAATAATAACAGGTGACATTTGCGGGCCACACCCTTACCACTTATCAACTATATCAATACCAGTTCATTATATTATCTTAATCCGTAGTCCTTATATCTATACTTTATCTGGATATGACTATACACAAAAACGGAGAAACGTCAACGTTTTTTCAGTTTTTATCTAGTTAGTATTTACGCAGTAATTCAGAATTAAAGTTGTGAAATATTACTAATATTAATTGTCTATTATTTTTCTTTAAATTAATATTAGTTAAATTACATATTTCATACCTTGTTTTGGAAATTTGGTAAGTAGGTATATTTCAATTAAAATATAAAACCGATTTTGTTTAACACGAAAATTTTAAATAAACATTATCGTATTTAATTTAATATCTTGCATACAGATTCTTTGCCTTTTTTTTAAAAAAAATTGGTTAACTACAGCCCTGCATGACTGTCAAAATTCAAATTTTTAACTCTCAATATCCGGTAGCAATATAATATTTCATCCTTGGTCTTCCTCTTCCAATTTTACCTTTTACCTTTAACCATAAATAATCAATTAAAACAAACGTATTATATTTTATTAGTGAACAAAAAGAAGAACATTAGAGGTAGGAAGAACAAAATTGTGTTCAGTTATAAATATAATCTTAATCTTATTTAACCTAAAAAATAATTGTATAAATATTATGCACTGGGCCCTCACAAATTTTGGTTTTTATTTTTGTTAATCATGATAGCATATCACTCAATGGTCAGTTTTCAATTATTCATAGGGGCCTAGATATTATAATGTATTTTTGATATTACTTTTTTGGTTATTTTCCCCTTCACAACGCTACAGAAATTAAAGAGTAAGACAGTATTAGTTCTTATGAAAAAACAATTGCTCACTGGTCAAAGTTTTTAAATTTTAACTACTGGATTTAATAAATTACATTAGCTAAAATTTGAATTATATTAATAATGTTATTTATAAAAAGTAAATTTAATTAATTTTAATAATTAATCATTACAAATATTTTATATATATATATATATAGATTATTACATTGGAGTAGTTTGTACTATTCTATTTATAATTTGTTTAGTATTGCATTTCATTTTTCAATAGTTTTAAAAATTAACCATCTAACAGAAAACAATTATATTATTATTGAATTTTCCTTTTTTTTTTTTTCTCTAGAATAGTTGAAACTTATTATAAATGCATAAATACCTCAGCTATTTATCCATGTAATAAAATTATAAAATAATATGTCTATTAAGTTTTAAATTTAAAGTATATCTATGAATGTTAATTTTACTATGATTTGTGTGTGTGTATGTGTATTTTTTTTCATCATCATTTGTTTATTAGATAATAATTGTTTTATTCCAGCACTTATAGAAATCACTGAAATGGATTGTCTTACTAATATTTTGGAGTTTGATGCTCATAAACCATCAACTAGTTTATTAGAAGATCTATTGAGAATACAAGGAGTGCACAGTATCCAATATGATTTAATAAAAACTGAAACGGATACATCATACAAAAATAGAATTTTGTTTAAATACCAAGTCACTGATGGTCGATTCATTGTTTTTGGTCAAGGTACTAATTAATTTTCTTAGTTATGAACATTTTTTACATTTTTTCTTAAATATATTTTAATTTACCAATAATGTATGGTGTAGGTGATTCAAAAAGGGAAGCTAAAGAAATTGCCGCACAAAATTTTTTAAGGATTCTTAATAAAGAATTTCCAGAATTGTGTACAGATTCTTTATTTCAATCCCATATGAATGATAGTATGGTCAAAAATAATATGGTTGAACCAATGACTTTAGAAGACTCCAAAAATCAATATAGGTCAACTTGTGAGCTTCATAAACTTTGTGCATCTCTCAAATATGGTAGACCAGTTTATGTAACAGAAGAAATAGCCAGTTTAGATCATAGTCCTATTTACACGATTTCTTGTACCGTGTTAGAATACAAGCGAACTGGTGAAGCCAAGACTAAAAAATTAGCCAAGCAAATAGCTGCTCATAAAATATTATTGATATTGAAAGAGTGAGTAAAAAATGTAAGTAGTTATAATGTACCAGTCCTAGGCCACTCCGATTTTATTCACTTTAAAAACAAACCTTTTCTTATCCTATTTCTTACTTCTATTTTATGATATTTGTCCGCATTATTTCTTTTATTATTTTTTTTATATATAAATTACAAAAGTTATTTTAAATAATTAAAAAAAAAAAGACATAAATTATTAACAATATTTATCATTTATCTAAATGTATTTTAAAATTAGGTAATTGGATTAAAGATTTATAGTTTAAGTAATTTGAAAATAAAAATACAAATGATTTAATATAATAATTTTATAATTAAAAAATAAAACATTTAAAAATTGATTGGATGGTAATCCCTTATCGCCTAGAAAATGGACCCAAAATGAACAAATATTTCAGAAAGATGGTCCAACAAAAATTAATGTAGGTTTATTTATTTTGAGTTTTAATTAATTCTTTGAGATTTCCAATTAAATTGTCTTTATTTATAATTGTTAATAATGTCCCTAAATTACTGTATTAATTCCATGTTCTAAAATACATCTTTTATCATCATGAAATAACCAAGAGCTTTTTATTTTGCTCAATAGTATAAATATCATATTTTTTAGTTCTAAATAAATTATATTTTACATATTAGACAGCTATGTTATTTGATAAACAGTATTATTATTAATTTTATTTTCCAGAGCTAAAGAGAAATCAGAGTATAATTTATGTAGTTCTTTTAGATACCCTAAATATATTATTATTATTATTATTATTTCATACAGAGTAAACTGCATTTACAAAACGACATTATTGCAGCAAAATGTATGTTATACATCTGTATACTAAATTAAAGCAAGGTAATAATTAATATATAAATAATAATTAAATATAAATAAACAAATATATTAAAATAATCCACATATTGGTGTATCAATCAATTACATAAACAAACCTAATAATTAAGTAAAATTCAGAATCTTTAACTTTAATAATAGAACATGTACTATTTAGAGACCTTAACTTTAAGTACTTAATAATCAAAAATATTATATCAATTAGTATAATATAAAATACAATGTTTATAAACATTGTCTTTAATATCTTAATGTCTAATAAATTTAACACAGAGTTTATATCATTTACTGAGCAACAAAATAAATCTAAATTAATACTATTTCCAACTATCATTAAAGTATTAGCTGAAGAAAAAAATTAATATTTGGCTTTAACATTATTAATAAAAAATGAGTCTTTATTTCTTGAGTTTTATAATTTATTTTTCTTAGTAATTTAAGGCAATGTACCTTATTATATATTAATTTATAAAGGAATATTGTATTGAATTACTGTCTTTGAGTTTTTAGCGTTTAAACATTGACAAAAACTAAGACACCATCATAAGATGAATGAGAAGGTCAGAGGAACATTACATTTATAAGAAATGAAACATAGGAAAGAGTTTTGTTTATTGATTCTAAGTGTTGTATAGGAGTAATGTTATTTGGAGACCAAATAAAAGAAGCATATTCTAGATTGGAATGTACCAAGGAATTATAAACATTTATTAGAGCATGAGAGTTACTAGATTCTGAACAGCTACGCTTTAAAAAGCCTAATTTTGGAATTGCTTTTTTTCTTATTTTATCAATATGATAATTAAAATTCAATTTCACATCAAAATAAATGTCTAAATCATTAATAACAAATACATGTTTGATAACAGAATTAATTAAAGTATAATCATATAGGATATTATTTTTTTTATCAGAAAATTATATTACAGCACATTTATTAATATTAAGTTGCATATCATTTTAAATACACTATTCATAAAAACAATTTAAATCAGATTGTAAAAGTATAGCAATGTTTTAATTAGTGCTTTTTGCCTAACTTGAATCATATTTGTACCTAGTTTACATTATAGTGTTTTTTTAATTTTTTTTTAAGTATTTTCTCTAATAATTTTTGAAGTACATTTCATAATGATGTATAATCTATTATTTAATATTTATATGTGTATTTAAAAAAAAAAAATGTGAGGTACAATTTATATATTGAAAAATTGTATATATAAAACCAATAAAACACTAAAAACTACATATGTATTGAGTACTTACATACTTAATATTGGTTAGACTGCTTATCATCAGTTTATTGTAAGTTTAGATAAAATACCTAACTAATAAATAATGGTTTGACTTGCATATCAACCTATAATAAGATGTAAGCATTTGTATGTAACAGATTTTTTTTACCCACTATATATATACTTAGTATGTAGTATTTGGCTGTATAACAAAAAAAAAACCTATAATCATTAATAAAATCATTAAATTGCTACACCATTAATATTTGTTCATGTATTTCTATATTTGTTCCCGGTTTTTCCAAATTATTATGAAATTTGCTTGGTAAATCAAAAATTTACCTCCCAAATTTAATACCAGATGATTTATTTAAGTGGATAGACTCATTATCTTGGAAAGTATTAACTTTTTCCCAAATTTGTTTTCTAAAACATTTAAGAAACAAGTTGCTACACAATTTTATATTTATGTTATTTTTTGTCACCCTTATTTTTGGGGGTGACAAAACAACTACCTACTTTGGATTTTAAAATAGCAACCTATATTAAAAAGTCCATAAATAGATTGAGTATTAGTTAAAATAAATTTGATATTGAAATTTTTTATTTCTATCGATCTGTTGACGAGATATTCCATTTTTAATTTTAGGTTGGAGGAGAGTAGTGGTGCATTATTGAAACGCCGAGCGCCATACCGCCATTTTAATGATATTCCACTACTCTCCTCCAAAAAATAAGAGTGACAAAAAATAACACGAATATAAAATTGTGAAGCAGCTTGTTTCTTAAATGTTCTAGAAAACAAATTCGGGAAAAAGTTAATACTTTCCGAGATAATGAGTGTACCTACTTAAATGAACCTCCTGGTATATTATATCGATTTACTTTTATGGAAGTGGAAATCATTACTTCCGTAAATAAAAGTAAATAAATTATTATATAAAATAGTAATAATTTCTTTAAAACGATAAACGCCATGAAGCCGACAGTCAGTTTTTTTGTTTTAAAATTGATAAATGATGATTTGAAAAACTGTAAACTAATTTATTAGGTACATTTAATACTTTTGAAATGTTAATTTGTAATTACTAATTAATTATCACCATATATTATAATGTAGTCATAACTTATAAGTAATATTATTCACAAGTAGTATAAAAATGCCGATTCTAATTCTGGTGCTGGTGCCATATTCCCGCCGCTAACCGCAACCCGCACCGTTCACCACTTCGTACTCTGCCGCCCAGCACAACCCACGCAGACACACAGCTCTACATATCAACCAGACTGATATTATTACCATAGATATTATCAACTCTTATCAATATATATTACCATTATTTTACAATGTTATCACGCTCATTATCACAGACGAACTGGTTGTTATTGATGGATTTTATCAAATATACATACCACTACCTATATTTTTACCACAGATATTATCAATATACGTTAACACTGGTGATTTAATATTACACATTTAATTACCCATTCCACTTTAGTGTGTGTAGGACAACGGAGGGAGTTGCTCTTTAATTTTCTGCCCGACGGATTTAATCCAACTGTTAGATCAGTCTCGACTGCATTTTTTTCGATGTATGTTGTGTTCATATAACCATGGTCATTATCAGTTACACAAAGAATACTAATCCTACTATAATTATGTTTATAACAGAACAGCGGTAGTCGTCATCGACGTAACCCTCCTCTCCCACTGTCACCGCAGCCACAGCCCGTGACATGACTCTCTCCACACACACACACACACACGCCTACTTGCATGAATACTACTACATATTATTTCTATACACATGCGCTCACAGAGGGTTTATGGATATATTTGACGAGTTAATACAAATAAAAACTAATATCAATAGGTATTTAAAATATATACATCATTTATTGAAAAATAACTCCACAAAGATATTCTTATCCAAATCTTCTATCCCACCGCAATGTATGATAATTTCAAAGGAAGTGTCTTCCTCCCACTCTATGAATGGGTTGAAAGAATCAGCTGGTCGCCCACTTTCGCTAACAGCATTAGATTCTTCACTCTGTTGCGTCTGAATAAAAATTGATATTAATTGCATACACTTATATAGTTGTTCAAATGTATACATACCATATTTCCGTACGGTTGGTCATTTTCCTCTACTTCACTAGACTATTGGCAGAATGTTCCAGCTATATAATTTTCTCGTATTAAATTTTTGTTTAAAAAATCTTACTACCCCAGTAGTATCTAGCAATAGCATTCTCCAACTAAGTAAATTAATAATAATTCAAAACTTACCAAACCATCAAATTCTGGATAAGTACAATCTCTGCCATCACATTCCTACAATTTTATTTTCAGCAATTTAAATTTTTTTCAAATAAATCATAATCGAATTTTATTTAATCTAACCGTACGTTTTTCTTCCTTTGCAATCAGATAGTTCGCATGGTTGATATGCCCCGAAAAGCCTCCTTGCGAATTTGAGTTTGTCATCTAAATATAATAATATCGATAATACGAACAATAATATTAACTGGATTAGATGTACGTACTTTTGCTGTTGGTACAAATGACTAATCTATATAATGATACGAAAAGAGTGATCTCTGATATTATTCTATATATTAAAAAAAAAAAAATAAAAAAATAAGCTATATGTTTTGTGTTAACTAAACACATTTTTCTCTGTCGAAAGGACAGTTTACATAAATAAAACCCCTGATGGTATTCGGTTTCATTGCCCTTCGTATTCGTTGACGTTTAAATACAAGTCGGATCTTACTTGATATTTAAATAAGCAAACATAGTATGTGTTTCAGATTATTTACAGTTTTTTTTTTTCAATTCTCGAAATTAATTGTTTCATCTACAAACTTTTTATGATGACTATGAAAAATTTGTTGTTGTTAGTAGGTATATCGATTTCAAATAAAACACCAGGACGTCAGTAGTATTGTTTCTTCATGTCTGTGTAACAAGTATCTACGCGTGTATATTATCTACGGTCTTAAACAGAGAGCTTCAAACATTTCTATAGTGCTCGGGACTCAGTACCAAATGACAAAAACACTATGTCTAATTTTACATCTAGACTGATGAAAGTGAAAGAAACAAATCAAAAACTGCAAGGACGTAGAGTCCACACTGTTGGTGCCAAAAGTAGTGCGTTAACCGCAAAAAGTGGACAGAAGTCATTCGGGACGTATAAGTAAAAAGACAAAAAAGGTGATGGTATCGAATGTCACATAAATGGTAGTATTATTTAATATCAATTTAATTAATTAAAATAAAATATAAAATAAAAATATATGATACTTGGGATGGGTGTGGCCACTGTTGTTGGTGAGAAGTTGGGAAGGTAGGATACATAAGGTATTTGATTTTTATCTGTAAGCAACGATAAACCATTGCTTGACAAAAGACGATTCCGAGCGCAGTTCATTAATACATAATTTGAAGTGTCTTAATTTTCTTTTGCGATTTTCGTTTAAATTTGATTTCAAAACGCTTATTAAAAAAAAAGAAAGTAGTTCGATGATTTAGGAAATTTGACCACGTCTAGGTAAGTCCAATATAAGTATTATTACCAAGTTTCAAGTCTTTACTACGTGTATTTATAACCGAATTACATAAAAAAAAATATATGCATATTGCAACGTCCAAAAACGACCATTTTCCGTTATCGTGGAACGAACGTACCTATTATCAATATAGTCGACCGGTTTATGTGTCACGCCCGCGGCGACGGATATGATTATACGCCTTCGTGATCAATAACCCCCTCCCCCCGCGAAAGGTCTATACGATCGCAATCTTTTGTAATTTACAATATCATATTCCCGACTACGGGTTAACGGCTAATCATATCACGTTTCCCCTTATCGCTCAAAACGTCGGCCCGCGACAACGTGTGTCACGAACGTCACGGCGCTCCGCCGCCTAGTTTGTTGTCCGTCCATTTTTCACTTCGTGTCTTGACGTCGTCTCGAGATCCCTTCATCGGACGGTCACTTAACACAGTTTTCTTTGCCAAAACACTCCCGTACTGTGCCGGTTCGCATATTTTCTGCCAATAAGAAAGGTCGTGTACCTTGGCATGTTTCCTGTCCTGATGGTGCCTCAAACGAACCAATGGAGTGAGCCCCGATCCGGTCAGCCGGGCGGACATCCTCGGGCGAGATGATTGGTAATATATATGTAGTTTAATAATTGGCCGATACCCCGTTTAGTCGGGTAGTTTTAAGTTAGTTCAGTAAATGTCCCCCGTTTAAATACTTTGTTTAAAATGTTTTTCTTTTCTCTCGAACAATCGCTTGTTCGATATCATGTACACACTTCCCGACACAATATTTGCCATACCTATATTTTCCCCGTTGTATAATAATTCCCCAATACCGTAATCGCGTGCATACGTATATCTCTCAAAGTTATCGCACGGGTTATCGGCCACACTATTACTCTCCCAAGAACCTTTTGTTGTTGTTTTTAATTGTTTGCAGGAAAGTACGGTTCTATTCTCGTATTCTTTAATACGCCGGTACTTTAACGGTCGGCTAGTCCAAAGATTGCGATCGCGTGTTTCATTCTCAATCAACATTTTCGTCAACGGCACACAGGTCCAGTTCCAAGGTCAAATACGGAAACACGATAATAACATGTCCGTCGCCCGCCGCCGTAATTATTATTAACTAGGATGGGATTATTATTGTGCGCGCATTTTGTGTACCTGTACTTAGTATCTCTATTATTCGCATTATCACAGTGACTGGAACAGACACAATTTATTACGTATTCCTGTTATTTATATATTGACAAACCAATACCCATTTAATAATCGCCCGAGCTGCGATCTAATATTATCTAATTTCCTTTACTAAATATTTTTACCCCTTAGTTCTTTTGATATTTGTCATTATTTATTTTATTTTTGGCACGTTAGAGCCGGTACACACGATTTATTTATCGTGTTAAAATATTATCGTACGTTAAGGTGTTGTGTAGGTACACACGACTTGTATTTTATCGTACGATCGATATCATATATTATACATTATAATATGTCATCAAAGTTACGTATTCAGTATGAACTGTGCAGTGTTTTCTATATGTTGTGCATTTTACAGTTTTCACTTTTAGTGCATTTTAACAATTAGTTCCTAGTTTACTATACAAAAAAATATAATGAATGATATTATAATTTTATATATGGGTTATGAAATATTACTAAAGAGAAAAATCGAAAAATGTGGGTCCATCCATTATTGTCCACTCGTTTATGCAAAGGTGCGTTTTCGATTAATTTTGAAGGTCTCGGGGAAGATTAAAATACTAACTAAAACAGCTTTATTAATTATTTTATAATTATTATTAATGTAATTATGCTATTTAATATTTTCGTCATTATTATTATATACCTACTTTAGGTACCTATTACTTACCTACTTAAATATTAAATAAATTTATATTTTACAATATATTATTTATATTATGTTTGATGAATACTTGCCTATTAATTTTTGATGTTCACTTGATATTTTTTCGTAATCCGGGTTTAACAAAATAAAAATTTCTTTCCAAGCAGTTCTTTTTAAATACCTATCAGAATAATTATTTAAACTCTTGTCCCAAAATAAAGGCCTTGCTTTGACTTTGTTGGTAAGAATCTCGATATCAATATTTATATCATCTTCCACAAATTCAATTGATTTTGGCGAGTTGACTCCACTAGAAAAATCACATTCGTCCTCCGAAGACATGATGGATACTAAACACTTTCTATGTTTTGAGCCGATAAATATTATCGTTCTTGTGTTCTAATCAGTTTATTTATGTAAATTTTGATTAAAATATTTTGGTCGTACAATATTTTTATCGGACAGACTCTGACAGTATTCAAGGTGTCGTATCTTATCGTACAACATTTTATCGTAATCGTGTGATCAGCCTAATTTATAACCACGTTATTTATAATATTGTACGATAAATAAATCGTACAATGAAATATCGGTCGTGTGTACTGGCTCTTATGTCTCCTCCTCATTCAGCAGGCGGGAAATCAATCAAAACACGTTATGTTATGGTTATGGTGGGGAAAGATTTTTTTGTCCTATGTAGGTATGGCTTCCGTCTTTATGGACCCTCAGCCCCTGATACACCTGTATGGTGAGTAGTTGTTATCGTGTTATGGTTGTTTTATGTGTGAGTTTTTTTTTGTTGTTGTGTTTGATGTTTTAGTCCCTCAGAAGAATGAGGATAGCAGCGTTGCGATAGTAGGAGAGGTATTTATAGTTAGTGGAAAACACTACAATCAGTCAGTTTCTAACCGTTAATATTCTATTTTAATACAGCGTAATTAAGTGTATACCTACACATATTTAATAATTTTTTTTTTCTTTTGTTTTCCAGTAACCTTGGTCAATATATCCATGTACCTATAAATTGTCCCTATAGGCCCGTACACACATTTGCGTTTAGCAGTTAAGAAGTCTATACCAATGTACCTTATGAGTCTTACGTATTTTAGCGAACCGATCGCTTCCCATCGATAAAAATAGAAATTTATCACATGCCAATGCATTCGTTATATCGTGTCCGAGTACACGAAGTAGGTATCTGTGAATAATACCCTGATCTACACATATTTTATTTCCCCACATTCATATATCTATCCCCATTTATACCCTTCCCGTAGGAAGAATATAGTTACACCAGTATTAACTGAATAGTTCCTTGTAGGTAGTCCGGTTTTTTTGTTCTTGATATATATTTGCCTTGGTAGGTTAGTTTGATTAGTTTAGTTCACCCATTTATCTGGGATGTTTTCGCATCTATTTGTAGTTTTAGATAGTTAAGTTTATTTTTTTTTTATTAGCTATAGAAGTATCACGCCCTTTTAATATTACCAAACCATGTTAGTCCCCAAGATACTCCGCCAAACGGACCAACCTTATACACAAAATTGAGTTTTGATCCGCTTTTACCAATTCACATATTTTGTTGATATCTATCTTATATACATCCCGTAGAGGCATACATTTTTGTTTTATTATTTAGATATTTATTTATTTATTTTATTTTCTCAAATTCTTAGAACCGTTTGGTTCCATAAAATTAATACACCTTGTCCATGTCGGCTTCTGCAGGCCAACGCTCTCAAAGGATAGGGAAGGAAAAGAACGTCTGTTCTTCGAAGAAATATTAAAACAGTCTAGTAGACTAGTGGTCTGACCTTTTTGGAATCGCAACCCACTTTTTTAGGCCTACAATTTTTGCGACCCATGTAAGCTTTGTAAAAAAGCTAATATTGCTTAATGCTTTGTAGTAGTACTATTACAACTGAATAAATACAAATTACATTTTAGTAGGTAGAATATTTAATTATTATTAATTGAAAATGTATCGAATTCATACAAAAATATAAAATAAAATAAAAATATGATACAAAAATTTTAATGTGAACTTTGTCCTTGAGTGTTTTCACGTAATAAATTCCATCTTAGTTCAATTTGACTAAGCGCAATCTGTAAATCATCTTCAGTTTTAAGTCTATTTCTTTTAGACGTCTTCAAATTTACCATATTAGAAAGCGCTTTTTCGCATAAATAAGTTGTTGGGAATATTAATAAAACTGAGATGTCTTTAGTTGCTAATTCTGTGTAATTTCCCATGCATAAATGTGCCCAAAATATTTCTTATGAAGTTCCACAAAACATTTGTTTCAATTTGTTATCACACGATAATTCAATTAATTGATTTTCAATGTCAGTATACATATTTACTGTCATTATATCTGTTGTATCCACTTAGTGTAATCATATTTTTCTTGAAATGGATGTTCATTTCATGAACTACGATCATAACTTGTAAGTCAAATTTTAGTTCATGAAACGGACATATATTTTATCCATTTCATGAAATGGAAACTCTTATTTTACACTTTGTGTAATATTTTAAATTAATTACACAAACAATTTAAAATTGTTTAAATATTAATTATTATACTATGAAAAAAAAAAACCAAAAATACTTCTTACTACTTATTTTTACAAATATTATTACTGCTATGGCAACGACTGTTACACTTAACAGAAGCTTTACAACAAGCACACTGTTTTGTTTCACATTGGTGTTTACAGATACAACTTAAAAAACCTTGATGTCTTGAATGTCTTGATTACTTCTTTCAATGCTTCCCTGACTTTGGGGATGATGTGGTCGACCGTGGACTATTACACATTGTGGCCACAGATCCTTTAATTCCTTAATAATGGAGTTCACAAATTCTCGTCCATTATCACTTTGAAGTATTTTAGGAGCCCCAAATGTAAAAAAAATAGTGAGTAATCTGTTTGTCGCTTCTATAGCCCATTTGCTTTCAAGTGGATGCAATAATACAAATTTTGTATTGTGGTCCTGATAATTCATGATCCATTTATATTTACCATCAGGTGTTGACTATAATAATAATAAATATAGTATGTAACAGTATCAATGTTATTATTTCAACTTCACGAAAAGTTACCTATTGATATAATTAATTTAAAATATTACACAAAGTGTAAAATAAGATTTTTTTATTTCATGAAATGGATAAAATATATGTCCGTTTCATGAACTAAAATTTGTAGTAATGAAATGAACATCCATTTCAAGAAAAATACGATTACACTAAGTGGATGAGACATATCTACTGCAAATTGTTATTCAATTCAATTGTAATTTACTCGAATATCCTCTGGAAAATATTGGTTAAATAATTTTGTTTGTCAAATGTTTATTTACTAATTCAAAAATGTCTTCAAACTTGATTGAAGAATCTTCCTCTATAAACTCACTAACGTTGGTGAAATTATCAATATTTCCAAAATATATTCAAGCTTTTATTTTATGAAGTTTTTTCTTAAATGATGTGTGGTTTCAAACATTTTGCAATCCTATAGGAGATTAAAAATGATGCTTTTAAAGCTGACTGTAAAACTGATAAATATTTTTTTATGAAAGTTAGGTTTTAATACTCTATTGATTTTTTCTTTTTAATTTGGATGTTTTGTACCTAAATGCCTTTTTAATTTTGATGATTTTAAACTTTCATTTGCAAACAATTCTCCACAGACTACACATTGTGGTTGAACCAAATTATTATGATCTCCCATATTAAAAGCACAAAATCCAAATTTTAAATAATATTTATCATACCTTTAACCAATAAATTAGAGATCATCACCCAACACTTTCCCACTGTTTTAGGTATGGCTATTCGTGGCAAAGATCTAAAGACTACTAATGAACTTATCACTATAATAACCGAGATAGAAGAATCCACAACTTGTTAAGAAAATGTTCCCTCACAACCTCTTCATATAATTCCAGTCCCAACCGACATTTCCCCCCCCCCGAGCTAGAAATAATAATGATAACAATTGACAGTATGTATCAAACTATCCCCATACGAGACCCATTCACAGCCTCCAAGATAATCAAAACCATGATAGTTATACTGGTAACAATAATTTTAGACGGTCTAGTCAGTATAGGCAAAAATCCCCCTAGAAACCACCATCCTAATTCTGCACCCAACACTCAGGTACCCATAAATGATAATTTCCCTGGAATGAGCATTCTCATCCCATTCATCAACTGAATGCCTCGGGAAATGACACAGAGTCCCACATATGAATATGCCGCGTGGCAGTGCCTCTTAAGTCCCCAATAGCCATTCCCACAGTCCCTGTTTTTCGACCAGTTATGTTCCCCCTTAATAAACTCCCCCCCCACCCCCGAACCAATATCTGTTCAACCTATTGTCACCACACCATCTTCCACACAAATTACCACTCGACCTGGCCTCGAAGTTAACGTTTTTCAACATCCAGTTCAAACTCTTTTTTACACTGGCGCTTTTGTCTGCTGTTTCAAAACAATTTTTTGAAGTTATATATACTCAAGTCCTTGAAGGGCAAACCCTGTCCACACTGTCTGTGTCTGGTGAAAAATTACTACTGCGGTGGAAGGTAGAAGTCGTAAAATAATACTACTATAAAATCAATAAGAATTAATTTGTTGAAAAATAAAATTTTATATTTTTTGATTTTCATAACTGTTATTATTCTTAAATCGAGACCAAGACAGAAGGTATTCAAGCTAGAAATTGTAACCCAAAATTAATTTCATAGTCTTCTTATAGAAGGACGTAGCCCTGTCCCCTAACCCTCTCCCAAGGCAATTCTGGCACTGTTTCCAAATTTTCACCTACAATAGTGGCCCACACGTCTTGCAAAGTATATCCATATTTAGTAATGGTTGGCTGGATGTGGTCACTGGGAGCCACCAAAATAAACATAGATGAGGGCTCATAGAGAAAATACTTTTTCCCTATGGGTATATTCACCCTTAATTTCTATTAAAATTAAATTTCCCAATGTGTGTTGTACCCATCGTGTGAATTATGTTCGTCTTTTTTATGTATTTTTATAAAAATATAATTTTACTATAATTTAGGAAAAGTTGAGATTTCATTAACACTTGTTACAGTATTACTAATGTTTAAGACCTTTCATAAAAAAGTATCTGGTTCTATAATACAAAATAAATACATCTCGTTGTCATAGCTATTTAGCTAATAGTTAATATGAATATAATGTTATATAATCATTTTGACAATTTTTCTCGTCATAAGTAAAAGTTATTAAAGTTCTAAAATATATTATTTAAACGTTGATGTTTTGTGTCTGTTCTGTGTTGTCTCTTGTTTGAATTTCAACATATATCCACACTGACGTGTTAAAATAGCAAGTACTCGTATATTTAATTATCTAACAAGTTTTCTAAATCTCGAAAAATAAAATTAATCAGCTAATACAGTGATGACCAACTATGGCCTGCGATCATTTATTAATTGGCCCACCAAAGTATAAAATCAAAGTTGAAAAAAATATTACTTTCAATTTCAAAAATTAACACTCACATTAAATAAAGATTTATTTATATTTTACATTTTTTCTCATTTGTAACAATCAGTATATAATAAACAATTTAATATTTTACTGTGCTTATATAAGATGTACTTACAATAAAATATAATATTCTGTTAATTTTAAAGTAAAAGTTTAAATTCTTGGCCTGCCAAGAATTATTATTTTTTTTTTATGGCTCTGTAAAAAAATATTGGTCATCACAAGTGTTTCCATTAGTTACTAACCGAACCACTTATCAACAATTTTATAAAATCTAAATTGTACCTACCTTGTAAATAATACCCAATTACAAATTTACATATTATGTTCTATAGTTCAAATAATAAATTGTAATCCAATATTTTTTTTAATTTGTATACCTAATTAAATAATTTTATTTTTATTGAACTTAAACTGTATGTAAAATTGTATGTATCTATGGTATCTAATTGTAAGTATAAAGGATGTGTCTTTTGGAAGTTTCAACTTCCAATTCTCTCTCTAACAATTTATGATTCTGATCGGAGCATCGAATTGGTTTTACAATGTTTATTTTTTTTTTTTTTTTGTGAATAAATTTTTACCAGAAATTTTGCTCCGATTTTCAAGTGTTCCTGAAAGGAAATTTGATTGTGGTGATACATTAGGGGGTAATTTTTTAATTTCCTACGAGGTTTTCATAATAAATGGATAAACCATAAAAAAAACTGGAAAATGTATTATGTTTAAATAAATTGTTGAATATTATGTCCTTTCAAAACATGTATATCTCCACTTCGAAGGTATTCGTTAGCAATGGTTAATTGTTGCAAATAGATATACATTAAATGTCACTCTACCTTCCCAACTTCATACTTACAATAGTGGCCCATCCATTGCATGAAGTATGTCTGTTTCTACGCTCATATTTCATGTGAAAATACTGAGTATTAAATACCCTTGTCACTAAAAGACTCATAGACTTAAATAGGGTTATTGAAATATATAAGTAGTTTAGTTGTCGAGGATGTACCCTTTAGAATAGGGGTGTTCAAACTTTTTGTGGTAGTGATCTATTATAAGAATATATTTTTCCTTTAACTTCTTATAAGTTATCTAATTAGTTAAGTTAGGTATTAATAACAAAAATACATGTACACTTCAAAAAAGTAAAATATATAGTTAAATAATGTTTTTATACTTTTATTGAGATTGATTAATATTTTAAATATAATTGCCAGTATAAACACTGTTGAGTTATATTGTTTGATAAATTTACAATAAAATAATGATATATTTAAATAAAAGTGATTAGTAATTTATTGTGATACATCCTTCAATACAGTGTATGATTTTTACTGGCTGGGGAAATAATCTTACCAATGATATCAATCAATCTACCATGACAGTTTAAATAGCTCCAATTTTCCCTGAAACTATGTTTTTCAATGACCATTTATAAGGTACTAGGTCAAACATTAAATATCACTGGTTTAGAGTTTAGACTTAACTGTCCAATGTTTTTCCCATGGTCAATTGTATGTGGGTCTGTCATGTGTTACATACAAATAAAAATACCAAAAAGTAATATAAGTAAAACAAACAATATACTATTGGCAAGACAGCTATTAATGAAAATAACATATTATATTTAATATATACAGGTATATTTAATTTATTAATATTTTTTTATTTCAGACTTATAATATACTTAAAGTTAATAAAATGGAATATAATCAGTATTTTTCTGATATTACAAATTTCAATACTATTATTAAAACACCAATAATTTATCTGAAAAAAATATTAGCTAATCAAGGAATTTTGAATCAACTGGTTTTTGAATCTATACAAACTACAGGGATTTTGAATTCACGATTTCAATATCGTGTCACAGATGGTCGGTTTATTGCTTTTGGCATAGGTTATTATCTAAAAACTTTTAATTTTTGAAAACTATTTAATAATACAATTTTAATAATTAAAATTATGAACTTTTAATATTAAAATGTATTGAAGGTGAGTCCGAAAATGAAGCTAAAGAAAATGCAGCCAAGTCTTTGTTACGGGTTATTCTTAAAGATTTTCCGGAATTGTGTTCTAAACATTCAAGAAGATTTTGCAACACGTATACTTTAGATTCAAATGTGACTCATAATTCAAAGGAACTTCTAAATGCCAATGAGTATAATACAATTGGATTGCACCAGGACTACAAACATAATTCAATTGGATTGCACCAGGACTGCGAACATAATTCAATTAGATTGCTTCAGGAATTGTGCCTATATTTCAATTTACCTTCACCAATTTACATTTTAGAATCCTCGGAAGGTCCTTTACATAGTAAAGTACATACTATTTCATGTAGTGTACTTCACTACGTAGTGAATGGCATAGGCAATACAAGAAAAATGGCAAAATGTAATGCTGCTGACAAACTTTATTTAAAGTTAAAAAAGTGAGTAGATTATAGTTTTACATTAAAATTAGTTATTATTGTTTTTTCTCATATATATATTTAAGTATGCCAGCAAAATATCTACAGAATCAAAGAAATTGATATCATCAAAAACCAAAATATTAAAGTAGTTGAAAATAAAAATGAAGTTAGTTTTGTTCATCGAAAATTTAACTTGTGATGAAAAATTATATTCAAAAACCAGTAACTCAAAAAAAAAAAAGGTTAATTTTATCTATTGATATTCAGATAGTATTATTAATTTAAAGAAAAATTTTACTTCCAATATACTAGATAAACAAAATCAGGTAACTGAAAATACTGATTGGGCTACAAAAATCTGAAAATTGGGTTCCAAGGAAATTCATGAAAAATTCAGTACATTGAAACGATCCTGTTAATTTTATTAATCAAACCAAAGATATTACAAACAATTTAGTTAATCACAATATTCAAGTATCTGAACATAATGATATGGCTATTTCCAATAATCAAAAATCAAATTTAATTTTAATTATTATTCTGGAATATTTCACAAAATATCCAGCAGATTGACTTAATCAAGTAATTGTAAATAATAATATAGATAATTTCATTCATCAAGAAACTTGTAATTTTATTAGTATGATGGAAGATTTTACACAAAATCTAATAGATGAATTAAATCAACAAAAACAGATAGCTTAAAATACTATTATAGATGGTTTTGTTAGTGAAGATTATTTCCCATTTAGCAATTCAAGAAATCTGAAAAATTCAGGATACATAACTCAGTTTAATCTGATTATCAGTATTCCTAGAACTCTACCACTTGTCAAAGGAAATTTTTTTAAATTAATAAGAGAAATGTTAATACAGTTTTATTGTTACGAAACAAATCCTATTTTAAACTATATATGTGATGTAGGAGGATTAAAAATAATATTAACGAATTTGAATAAACTTAATGAGCCTATTTTCAAATATCTACTTATACTCCAACTATTTCCAGTGAATCTACTGATAACATTGAAGAAACTCGGTTAGATTTTATCCATAAAATATTGGAATACTTCAATCTGTTCATAAATAATAGAAAAACAATTTGATGTTAATTAATGTAGTATTTTAAATATTTAATAAAACACAAAAAGTTATATAATATATAATACTGCGCATAGGTTAAGTTTAAACAATTGACAAAAAAATGTTTTAGATCAGTAGGTTACTTAAAATTATTGCATGAAAAAAAAAATTTAAGAATGATGTGTACAAATCGATCACAAAAGAAAATTAACTATTACCAATTTATGAAAGATTTATGATTCACTCATTTATAAAATATTATTGCCTAAGTCCAATAGTCGACAATTTAGATTCATTTATATATTTTCATGTTTAAAACCTCTATCTGCCATAACTACTATACCAGGTTAAAGAATATTTAGAATAACACAATTAATAACAATAATACAATTATATCATCATAACCTTTTAGTATACATTTTGTAATATCTTTCTTGGTGTCTCTTACCTCGATACCGATAACCAGTGTTTCTTTCAGGCATCCCTCTGGGGGCTTAACCCTCTCGGGAAAATGTCCGAGTCCCCCCTAGGAGAAAATTTGAAGAATAATAAAGAAATATCAAATATTAGACAAATTTAATTTTGATACCACAGTGAATGACCTACAATTATATATAATGATAGGTCAACACAGTACTCTACTTATAAAACTATTTTATTTTTCCTGATGGAAATCATTAATTGCTTAGGTAATATTTTTAGGCACCATTGATGATAAATATTATTATTGTAAACAAAAAACAATATAATAAGAAAAATATTTCATTAATTTGTCAAAAGCATATCATTTTTATAGACTGGTACAGTGGCAAGCAGGCAAGTGTCAGAGCAAGCCAGGTAATTCATTATGTCAATATATTAGGCAATATATTTTTATATATTATAGGTTTTTTTTTAATTTTATATATAATATACTCATCTGTAATTATACTCCATTATCTGAATTATAATTTTATAATAAAATTAATAAATTAAGACGATATAGGTATGCAATATATTGATAAAAGTGCTCAGGCTTCGATTACCTAGCTCATATCTAGTATAGTAGGTATGGCCAGGTGCAGTAAGGTGGAGTGACCACGATTTTATGCGGCAGCATGAAGCGCTACATCAAGTGCTTATAAATACTTTTAGATATGTATTTTCTGATACCGAACATTCAATAATTGGGTTTTTTTTTGTTCAGTTGATAGGTCATTTTCAGTGATGAAATTAATCAAATTTTTTTAAAGATCGACAAAAAATCAAGATAGACTAATTTCTTTGTCGATAATATCTATTGAAAAAGAATTATTAATAAAAAAAAAAGATTTAGATTTTTATGATAAAGTTACCAATGAATTTATAAGAAAAGATAAACAAAGGATTTTATTTATTTACCTTACTAATTAATAATTTACCTTTTTTATTATTTTTTTTTTCTAGCGCTTACCTAACTTCCAATACTACCCTACCGCACCCTACCAGCAGTAGTAATGTTTTTATTACTTTATTATCTTTTAAACAGTGAAATGTATTGGCTATAGTTGTGTTACAACTGATACATAAATCTGATAGCAATTTTTACTATACAATTTTATATATATAATAAAATTTTATGTATATAATATATTTTCTTTTTAAATTTAATTTGATTGACAAGTACTTACTGCAATAACTCCAACCTTATGTTATGCTAGAAATTATTAATTGACAAAATTGTTTAATTCTATATCAATAATGAATTCATGTGTATGCATCATATATAGAGTGTATACTGTATTTTTTTTTCTTGTAAATTTGTATAACCTAATCTAACTAATTTGCTTATTTGTATCTGCCTAAACTTAAAACTAGATTATCTCATCAACGGAATGATGGAAATTAAAAATTTCAATACATACTAAATTATTTTTTAACTAATACTCTATCTATTTATGTTATTTTTGATATAGATTACCTTTGAAAAATCAAAAGTAGATAGTCGTTTCACTCTTAAAAATGGAAGTGACAAAAATGATAGAAATCCAACATTTTAGAGCAGGTTTTTCTTAAATGTTCAAAAAAAAAAAAAAATGTTTATACTAAAAAAAACAGTTAAATCAGAGAAATTAAAAACAGATTTAACGATAAATCTGTTGATATAATAACATTTGCTAGTCACTTGGAAAGCTTCCAGTCTCATTGATACACGAAACAATGAATTGAAAAAAGTGTGGTTATTTTCTAATTTTTAATGCAGTAGTTTTACTGGCGGACATAAAGTAATTAAATTGTTTTTATAAAATCTATGCTTGATAATGGTATACACAAGGCACATTAAAATCAATTGATCTAAATTATGGAAGCTGATGTGGGATATACCTAGTTATAACAGCTTTGTGAAATATTTCTTGTAGTTCCCGTTATGACAGCTTCGATTGACAGATCGTTAAGTACAATGAATAGTGTTCTTACAAAGACGAAAAAAATGCTACCAGAAACCTTGATGCGTTGTTTATTATAAGTATTAAAGGGCCTAACGTTCCAACAGAATATTTCTTGAACAAAAGTGTAGACTTGTATGCAACCAAAAAATATCGCTGAATTTGATTTCTTTAAAAAATATTTTAGCAAATGGTATTTTTAGATTTTGTTTTTGACTATTTTAGATTCTGAGTGGAACGAAGAAGCTTATGGTTTTACAAAGTTGTTTATTTATTTTTATTTTTTTTTGTGGACAATTTGTATAACAGATTTGCTCCGATTTTTAAGTGTAGTACTTTATTTTGTATGGAGAAATATTTTAAGGAGGTCATTTTTCGATTTTCTCAAGAGTTTTCTTAGCAAATGAGAAAAACCGAAATAAACTGGGGGGAAACGGGAATATGTACGAAATGAAAGCATTAGTTAAAAAAATATACGGGCTTCTTTTTTCTTGTGAACAACTTTTTTACCAGCAATTTCGCTCCAATTTACAATGATAGTACTTTTTCTAAAATAAAATATGATTGAAGACATATTTTAAGGAAGTAATTTTTCGATTTTCTTAAGAGTTTTTCAGCAAATATGAAAATCGGTACAATATTAAACAAATATTATTGAAGAAAATATATAATTTCTATTTAATTATTTTAATATGATATAAATTTTGTTAGCAATGGTTTATCTTTGCTTAAAGATATACATTAAATTCCCTTCTGTGTCCTACCTTTTCCAACTTCCCACCTACAGCAGTAACTGCACCCGTCCCCATTATCCAAGGACAGCTTATTTTTTTTACGTATATATCACTTCATTGTGTGTATTTAAAATAACATTGATATACAATAGTAATTTTACTTATACTTTAACATATATTGAAATTTGTTAGTATAATAATATTTATTTGTCTGTTAAGTTCTTTTTTTTTTTTTATACAATATCACTAAATATCGTTATTACTCATTACATACACAATTTTTTTTCTTCATTTTTTACCGTATAGTGTATGGTAAATGAAAGTATTACATAATATTATTTTTTTTTTTTCAAATTATTTATTTGTACATCTCCACAGCTTATTAAAATACGTTAATCATATTACATTCAATTTATATCACTATTCGATAGATATATAATGTGCAAATTTTCTCAATTATTACAAAAACCTGTTGTATAAGTTTTTTAATCCTCGTACTGGGTGTCGCCAAATTACTCGTGGCGTTTTGTTTTCTCAAGTAATCTATCATATTTTCGTGCATTATTTGTAATTCGTATCTTAGTAAATGATGAGATGTTTTTGCATCTTTGGCACTTATGTCATATAGCCCGGTTTACAATAATAGCACTCTTTCTGAAAAGAAATCTGACTGGGATGGTACTTTTAGGAGGTAATTTTTTTGATTTTTCCAACGTTTTCATAATAAATGAGAAAAACGGGAAAATAAGTACAATATTAAACAAATATCGTTAAAGAGAATATATAATACATATTATATTATTATCTTACTACAATGTAACATATATTATTAACCAAATTTCCCTTAGAATCGCTTTTCGTTAGTAATGGTTAATCGTTGCATACAGATATACGGATTATTTTTCCCCTCTACCTTCTCAACTTCTCACCTACAAAATGGCCCATCCACATGCAAAGTATGCCCGTTTTTTTTTTTGAAACTCGTAAAATATAAAGTAAAATTTTACTATAATTTTAATATACTGTTAAGAAATTTAATACGCATTCAAATTTGTATCTAAACTAACAAAATATTCAGTATTAAAATTTTCTTACATTACAATATTAATAATTATATTAAACAATTTGTAAATAGTTCGAAAATGTATTTTCTGTAAGCGTAGCGAGTAGTTCTGTAAAGCATTTTTTGTAAAATGAACCCATATGACCTTTTAGTCCCGGGGCTCAATAGATTCCTAATCAGGCTTTGCATATACCGTGTAGCACATATTTGT